TTTGTGATGAAATGATGAAAGCATCATAAAGAAAAAAATTCTAAATTCATTCGTAATTTATAAGAATGTACAAATTATCATTAGTGAATGTGTTTTTATTTATAATTTAATACACCAAGCATTAAATTGCATATAATTTTAGCTGCTCAAAATTTGTAAAACATTTCAAATTATTTATTGTGTACGTTAAAGAAATGTTTGTCATGTGAAATAGACACATATTATACTACTTTATCACATGTATCATACAGTAGCAGTGACATAAAGCCATGTAATATTTTTTTTATATTACACCTCCAAGCAGCTAATCTGATTGGTCCTTGCACCCAATTTGAAATTGTGATGTCACCAAATACACCATGCTGAAACATAGCTAGTTTAGAGACAAGACAAATTTTTGTGAAAACTGTTCGAAATATGATCAATCTGAATGTAGTGCGTTCATGCATTCACCAATATGTTTTGTTGTTTTTTTAAATTGCATTTGAGGATTTTACTTTTACTTTTATTTGCGACTTCCTAGGACCACAGTGAAAATCACTGCGACTCCCTAGGACCCCAGTGAAAATCATTGTAATTTCCTAGGACCCCAGTGAAAGTTACTGTGACTTCTTAGGACCCCAGTGAAAGTCAGTGTGATTTCTTAGGACCCCAGTGAAAGTCACTGTGACTTCCTAGGACCCCAGTGAAAGTCACTGTAACTCACTATGACCCAAGTGAAAGCCACTGTAGCTTACTCGGACCCAAGTGAAACTCACTATGACCCAAGTGAAAGCCACTGTGGTTTACTAGGACCCAAGTGAAACTCACTGTGACTCGCTAGGACCCAAGTAAAAGTCACTGTGATGCGCTAGAACCCAAATGAAAGTCATGGTGTCTCACTAGGACCCTAGGTAAAAGTCACTGTGATGCGCTAGAACCCAAATGAAAGTCATGGTGTCTCACTAGGACCCTAGGTAAAAGTCACTGTGATGCGCTAGAACCCAAATGAAAGTCATGGTGTCTCACTAGGACCCTAGGTAAAAGTCACTGTGATGCGCTAGAACCCAAATGAAAGTCATGGTGTCTCACTAGGACCCTAGGTAAAAGTCACTGTGATGCGCTAGAACCCAAATGAAAGTCATGGTGTCTCACTAGGACCCTAGGTAAAAGTCACTGTGATGCGCTAGAACCCAAATGAAAGTCATGGTGTCTCACTAGGACCCTAGGTAAAAGTCACTGTGATGCGCTAGAACCCAAATGAAAGTCATGGTGTCTCACTAGGACCCTAGGTAAAAGTCACTGTGATGCGCTAGAACCCAAATGAAAGTCATGGTGTCTCACTAGGACCCTCGGTAAAAGTCACTGTGATGCGCTAGAACCCAAATGAAAGTCATGGTGTCTCACTAGGACCCTAGGTAAAAGTCACTGTGATGCGCTAGAACCCAAATGAAAGTCATGGTGTCTCACTAGGACCCTAGGTAAAAGTCACTGTAATTGCAATCAATTGACCGGACCCGAATCACAGTATAACAATTTCACTGCTAACAATTTTTCTCTGACTATTTGTCACAAAAATAAAGCAATACACAGTAGTAACTGGATCAATAATAACGTGTATACTGACCAACGCTCATGTTATTTTAACTCAACTAATTTGAACCCAGTATAAATATTTGCACACCAAAATGAAATCCCATGTAAATGAACATACTGATCACAGGTCTACTTGCTGTATTTACAGTCATTAGGATTGTATCTTAATGTACAATTACAATTTTTGAAATAATGTTTTTTTTGTTAATGCTCATCCTGCTAAATTTGAAAAATAAATTACTCTATTATTATGGTTATCTATATTAACTGCAGTTTTTAATATGCAAATTAAACGATCACTGCATGACAAAGAATGATAGGATTCATACATATAGATCTATCACTGATGAAAATGAACACATGTTTTCATAGAATTCACAACTTGTTCATGTTAAACTAAACTTGCAACAGTGACATGGGTAAAGTAACTATATTTATATCTACCAACAGCTGGGTATAATTAACTTGTTGTTGAAGACAGCTACCAGGGGGAGATACAGTGAGATTCACTGGCTTTGTTTTCAAGGAGAAAATTAAATACAGGACTTTTATCTTTGAACAACTGCAGGTGGTTACAAACACCAGGAACAATTAAAGCTAATATCAACTACTTATGAAGGTCAAAATAGAATACACCCACAAATAATAAAGACCTTGCCAAAATGTCTGAACATTCATGGCTTAAAAACCTAACCTGAATTGGCAAACACAGTTTTACTAAAAAGGCAATGATTTGTATTCTGTCATCATTCAAACAGTAACGTTCTCAGCTCCCAGGGTGTGCTTGGTGGAAATCACATTATTCACTCTGGGAAGCTTTATAGTATCTTAAAAATCAACCATTCAGAAAAGAAACTAGAAGTCCATGGCATATCAGTGAAACAATCATATACGCACGCAAGCAAACAGTTGGTTGGCCAGTCCACTTAAATTTGTCATATACTTAATTATCCAGTAGTTTTTCTGCTTTTTTCCTGTCCAGTTATGTCTTTAAAGTTGTTGTATTTTAACATTGTTTTCAGCATACCAAGAGTATAAACTGATTATTTTTGAGGTAGCTATTGTGTTTTTGACTGGATAACGCTGAAGGATATTCAAAATTTGTGAAAAAACTTACTTTTACTGGGGACAAATTGAAATGGTTTGCAGGGTTTCACCCAAATGGTGACGATGATAATAAAACATGTATTTGTGTAATTATTAGGAATAAAATAATAAATCGTCCACTATTAAAACCATCATGACGGAGTAACCATGGCTGTCAATTACATAATCAAAATTATTGATATTTATTACTGCAGTGCTGATTCTGTTTTCCAAACATGGTAGTTAAAGAAGCCTGGGAGTCTTTATGTGAAGCTGCACGAAAGAAATACATCTCATGACTAAAGGGGATGCCCTCCGAGAGCATAGACTGCCTTAGTGTCCTTTAATCATATATTTCCTTCACAATTTCTAATGTATTTTTAGTATTTTAGGCTTTGTAATCAGGTACAATCAAATGACTAAAGTTCAAGTTTAGAGGGACTGTTTAATTATAAATGATTATAAATATATGACCTTGGGGAGAAAAAAAAAAGTAAGGGCATGGGAATGGATTTCATTAGCAGTAAGTCATAGCAAACCACCAAGTATGCAACCATATTTGTGTACAATATGGTTCCACCATTGTGCTAAAACATGGGAACCCAGCATGAGTGCTTGTGAAGAAACTGTCTGGTACATTGCACTCATAACATAAATATTAATGAGATGACCCATCTGCTTGAGTTTTCCTCATCTTATTTAAAGTGAAATGCACAAATTTCAGAATGTGACAATTCTCAATACATCAAATTTCAGTTATATCTACAATTCTAATTATATAGCTAGTAAACAAGCAGGAGGATAGTTCAATTAACTGATCTTTGTCACTAATTTGTCTACTAATACTAAGCTGAAACACACTGACTCTTATTCACCAGAGGTACAAGTTAATCAAATTAACGATGAACTAAACTAAATCCAGTAGGTGAAGCTGTGGCTAAGAAATTCTCAAGTTACCGAAAAATTCAACATGCTTCTAAGATATCTTGAAATGGAAGCCGATACGACTGGTGTTTATCAGTAACACAAAGAACACACTATCCAATCGTTCAAACTACACTTATTTCAATACTATAGAACAATACAGGATCAGGATTAACTTCACTGACTTTTAGAGATACTGGGCAACAGTCATTCAACATTGAAACAGTTCACATTACCATGACAACAAAGATAGCAGATTAGCAGTCACTTGTTTTCTAATAAGGTGCACAGATGAAAGGTGTCAACAACTCAAAAAGAAACAATTATAGGAAAACTTCTGTCTATAGATCAGATGGTAGTAATAAAAAGTAATTCATGTGATGGGAAGTGATTGTGATTGAACAACACCCAATAACATGACAACATACTGACTGTTTCTCTGTTGTGTTCAATAAGTATTGACATATTCATAAAACAATAAATGGAACTCTTCTGACAACGGAATAAAATAAAAAGACTAGCTCTTCTAAAGACTAACTATAAGTACACAAAGTCATCTAAATTTTAGCAATAACAGTTCCCCATTTTATTAAAATTGAACATAAAATAAACCCCTCACCATCACCACCGACTCGGCACCGAGGGATTTTATCTTTGAGTGCATTATATTTTAGGTAAAAATACCAAATTGACATGCATTTTATAATACTGATTCAATTCTTGTGACCAGGATGACAATTAAATTTTAATTTATGTTAGCCAATTCGTCAATGATAACTATTAACGGGTTATTTCCCATCCCATTTACAGGAACTAGCAACTACGTGTAAACAAGTTTACTTGCCCTGGTTTCTAGTCCCTAACCACAGAGGGAATTGCAAGTTCATAAGCTGGGAATGGCTACTTCATTATAAATCTTAACAAACAAACAAACAAACAAAAAACGAAAAAATACTGAACTTGTTCATCATCATTTTTAGAAATAGTTTGTTAGAGTTGCTTTATTTCTTTTGTTAATACAAGTACGTGTACATACCCGAGTTGGCCTCCCTGACGTATGTGGTTGTATGTAGCTCCTTGCATGGACTGGACTTATGAGTCATGATCGTCTCCGATTAAATCGCATATTTGTTGTTTTGGAAGAAGATCGAGTACTGATCTAAGCTAACCAATCTAATCAGAAGACCCTCTCAGTTGGATTTACAGCCACGTAGGCCCTGTATTTAACCTTAAACATGTACTATTGCAACACGACTCAAATCAATGGAGAACAGGGCTGTTATGAGATCGCATGTTATGCGTGTTTTTTAAGTCGCAACGAAAGGCGATCACATTGGGCAATTCATGCCACTTGGCAGATTATGGCTGCCACGAACAGATATCATATTGATCTAACTATCGTTCATCTTACTCACCTTTGTGTTATTTTCTCCGTCGCCGAGATATTAGGCATTTCCAACTGCGATTCAAACAATAGTTTGGTACAGCAAACAGCGGTAAAAATGGTAACACTATTTTCAGCTAACACGACACTTCGGTTAAACTCCGATCTTTATGTTTTTCGTTGTCTGTATTCCCCTCAAAATGTTACACTTACTCTCTATTGTGTCCTTTGGATGTTCAGGGGGTACGATTGATGAGTCCTTGCGCTGAACCCCCGAATTATGACTTGATTTCTAGCCATATTTCCCCCAACAGGTTCAACATGTCCTCCCCCAGCTGAATATTTTGCAAGAATACATTATTTAGTGTTTGTGACGTCACGGGGCATATACTATAGCTGATTGGGGGTCGCAGCTCCAGTGTAAGACAAATCATGGTACAATGTCTCATATTTAATGCATTTTGTTTAAATTTTCTCATCTGTCCATGTCTTTAATAAGTTAAATATTGTAATAATTGACATACAATATATTTTATGCCATTTAGACAAGTCATGTTGAATCCTGTCTCTCACTGAATCGAGCTGATACTTTCTGTCGAATAATTGTAAATGGTACTATCCCAACGTGGTTTATCCTATTATGGGGCACACCAATCAGCCGTGGGGAAATTATTTATCACCAGGCTGTTGTTTACCGCTTGTTGCATTTAACATCGAGAGGGGTTGTTACTCTATATTTTAGAGGGACGGGGTTTTATTTAGTTTCAAACTGTGACAACGGAAATTTCTACATTCCAGATTTTACAAAAACCTACATAAATATATCTTAGGGGGCTAAATATTTAGCTTCACGAAAGCTCACGATACAAATGAATGTCACACTGCTCGAATAATGAGACCCGATGCGAAATGGTCATGCCTCGCAACAAAGGTACCTTTTTGATTGGCAGTTGTGGGCGGGTATTTTGGAAAACTTATCTAAGCGTGTTGCCTAAAGGGCATGTTTTCTTTTTTTTCTTCTCAAAACATCATATCATGAAATCTCGTTAACAGATACGGTTCATGCTTTAATAACAGTCACGTAGGTTCCTTCAAAATACTTTTTTCTTCATTTTATTTTTTTTGTTTATGCTGACTTATTAAGATACATTCGGTATACTGGGGTCAGGGTCATGTCTTGTTTAATCTCTTTGAAGCAGGTTCCATTTCGGCTGATATTTTGGCAAAGCAAAATTGACAGTCCAACATGTTTGCCCAGGGTAGAGGTTTACCATACTAGAATTTCGCATATCCTGATATACAACCACGAAGTCACCAGTGTGCCACTCTTTCGAGCTGAACTCGGAGATGTGATGTTTCAATGAATAGATAAATCATAATCCCTAAACTGGTTTGGAATTGGCCTAAATATGTAGAAAACATTCTAGTGACTAATGGCATGGATCATATCTATGAAAATGAAATACCCCAAAATCCAAAATGGATATAAAGTTTTATCAAAATCAGTAAAGAAAATGAAATAAACATGTTTACACAAAATTTAGAAAAGATGAAATCATTAAAACACTACTGTTGGATTAAAAAAAAACGTTAAAAAAGAAAATTACATATTGGATCCTTATGATCATCATGGTATCTCCCTTGTCTTTAAAACTAGGTCAAACTCTTTAGATCTTGAAGGTAACAGAATGGGATGGAAAAATTACAGGGGTAATGGAATTTGTGGAGTCTGCAATCAGGGCAAAGAAGACATTTACCACTTTCTTTATCTTTGTACGTCATCTAATCATATTAGAAAGGCATTTTATTTAGCATTAGAAACCTCACTGAGAAACAATGTTGAATCTTCATCACTAATGAATAGTTTTCTTTCAGGGGGGTTGAATTATAGGTTCAATTTCCTTTTTGGTGATACACTATGGAACATAAATGAAAATGTGGGAAATACCTCATCAGCTTTAATTAGGAAATATGTAACTGATTTATGGCAATATAGAAAAGAAATGATGAATGTAATTTAAATATATGTATTACTGTTTTTATGCTGCCGATACAAAGATTGAATAAACATTATTATTGTTATATTATTATTATTATAAACATAAATTTTATTTACTTGTGATGATTTGCTCATAGGCCTAGCCCCAGGAATCTATGGGAATGTGGTGCTTGTTTTGGTGGATTTGGTTTATAACGACGGCCTCAATGACGTACTTACAGTAGACAACACATACTCATGTACGTGACTGAAACAAAATGCATTTCCTCACGAGAGAAAACAACAACAAAACACTGTGCCGTTGTATATGTCATGTGATTCATCTATCATGTTGTCCCGTTATCCTTGGATGGTTAATCTGCATGCTGCCATGGGCTCTTGAATCTGGATTTATGATTGGGTTGGGGCATGTTTATATATAATAATGTTATAAACGGATATAGCGATATATACACTATAACTAATATTACCCTAAACCTAAGTGTAGCCCAAATCTGAATTCCCAATTTTATTGTAGTGCATCTCACTTATCTGAACACCTTTGTGAGGCATGTAATGTTACCGAGCTTCAGAAATCCAACAGTCCGTTTGTCTTTGTGCACATAACTCAGATTCACAATGGGTTTACCGTTTACCGGGATTTGTTTGTCTTAGATTGACGAATGTCAGTGTTTCCTTCAATCATATTTCAGTGGTACAAAGCTTATTGCTGCATGTTTCTTGGTGTCACACGACATTTTAGTGGTTTCTGATTTATCATGAACTAAACATGTTATTGTTTACTTGTTTTGATTATGTTCATATATTTACAACAATTAATCCACTGGCAGTTCATCATATAGTGTATAGTACACCACGTGTCATTTCAATTTAACCAATGCTACTTGAGGTATTAATGATAAACGACGTGACACGTACAACGTAAATATTGGTATGATCACAGCCGTGTTCATACCTCTTAGGACGATGTTTTAATTTAACTAGCTTCCTACCCATTGATACTATCTATAAATATTTATTTACATATCATTATCAAATCATGTTAGATGACACAAACAACAACACTTCACAGAGTGACTGTGGGCACGTAATTGTCGAAGTGTGATGGTGGTTCAAGCGAGCCTCACTATAAAGACACACGCAAAATGCTATATTTATGTACTAGTATGTACCAGATTTAGTTTGATAGTTCACCTGCAAATTTATGTTTATTTACTCTGATCTAATTAGTCGCTTGTATTTTATATTGTGTTTAGTCTCGTTGTTTTTTTATAACACTTTGTCTTGATACAGTCTTTTGTGATCAGTTACCAAATATTCTATTCTATTCTATTCTATTCTATTCTATTCTATTCTATTCTATTCTATTCTATTCTATTCTATTCTATTCTATTCTAAACTACGCAAATAGAAACGCGCGGTGGCGCTCTACATCATCGATCATCCTCACTGACCCAATTCTTTTACGCATATGGAATGGGCAGATACAGTAAGGTAGACTTTTAGTGGCGGAAAATGTTCAGTCTGTGATGTTTGCTGCGAATATTTCATAAACTGTGGTCAAACGATAGTCTCATTGCCAGTGGGAATCTAAATAGATATAAAGTAAATTAAATAAGTTCACGATTCAATAAAGATTATTACTTGTTAATACGTATTTAGAATATAGGCACGTGTACGATAAGAGATGAAGCTCACATCATTGACAACATACAAATATTATGGAAATAATACATTTCCTATCATTTCTTATTACCACGGGTAAAATAGTGGTATAATATAAAGTTAATGTCAACACAGACACTATAGGCGGTGATTATCTTCAAACTTATTTTTCAAGAAATGTGAATTTTGTTACTATATATGATTTATAGATCTGCTCCAAACTTGGCGATACGTAGCTTGTCGACAGCACATCCGTGATTGATATAAACAAATTGTAATAAAAGTCAATAAACATTCACACACATTACATCGAAAAGTATGCCTGAATACATTATTTCGACGATTGAATCACGGCAATTGTATCTAATTCACATTCACATTCTCGCTACACTAGTAACATAAACAATGTCTACTCTGGCTGAATTTGTTGTCTAAATTGTGAGCATGCGTCTTTATTATATTGGTAATGACACAAAACGATGCGAGGAAAAAGAAAACCACTAATGGATCGTTCCACTGGCACATTTTAGAGAGTTGTTGCAAATAAAGAATTTAGTATATTCGCCCATGTGTCTTCGAGCAAAAATATGTCTGGATCATAAACGACAAGAACAATTTGGATAGCTATTTGTTAGAGACATCGGGAACCAAAATTCAGAAGGTAAATCAATCCGTGACGAGATTATGATAGCCAGGGGGCGAGGAAATACATTTCAAAAGTATATTTTGCCAGAAAACATAGAAGTATTCGCGGAATTACCTAGACATACAGGTAATTAAAAACGTGTGCTTTCAGTATTTCATTGAACGAATATGCAATATTTTAAGTTGCAGTAAAACATTAATGTTTTAATAGATAAATTATGCTTTTATCAAGACGCAGTCTGAAATTAAAATATTTGAAAATGCTCTCAAAATCAAAGTTATACACACTGCATATTTAGTAAAATATATGTTTAATAAGAATCGGTGTTATTTCATCAAGTACAATTTAACATTGGCCATCCTTGATCATAAAGCGCCGTTTAAGTTTATTGAGAACACATAACAATCCCCAAATGTAATTAAAATGGTTACATAGCTAAAATACAAAAAACAGAAACTACACAACACTATAAAACACAAGCAACAAAAAGAGTAAACACTATAAAATAAATCTACAAATTGAATCCTTGCTGTCTTGTATCAGTATTTATTTTGATAAATTCAGCAAGTACAATGTCCACGTAAATATTTTCGTTAAACATTAGAAATATAACTTTGTCATTTGCCAATGGGATCATGAAATTGGTAAAATTGTCATGCAAACTTCATATAATGAATTTATTTTATCAATGTAAGAAGGGCATACCTAATTCGATCTTCAAATCAGGATTACTTAATCGAAATTGATTCACGGAGTTCGACGTTTGCATTGAAATTAATAGTCATCTAGTTTAAATTTTTGAATTTTCTATATGTTCTAAATTTATTTTCATTAATTTCGTTTAATTTGTCATTCCAATGTCAACATGAAATGTTCGTTTAATTTGACATGTAATTTTTTTGCTCAGTGGTTGTGAATGTTTTGTTTTTATTTACTATCTGCGCTTCATTGGTGTTTACTATTTATATGTTTATTAAGCATTGCTGCTTCTTTTACGAATTTGTCAGCCGAATTCGTCGCTCTATTGTAGTA